CATCCACGATGGTTGCACGAGGTGAATGTACTCAACTTCATGCCACTGAACTATACACGTCAAAATGGTTAAAATAGTAAATTGTGTTATGTATAAATTCGGCCCCTACAATAATAATAATAAAAAAAACAGCAGAAGCCAAAGGAGAAAACTTGCTTTGGGATTATCTGACCCAAAGTGCCGATCGTATGGAGAAGCCCTAGGTGACAGAACATGTGACAGATGAGGGACATCCTGTATTGCTTTGACTGGTTTTACTTTAACAATTTGAGTATTTGCTGTCTGCCCTTTCCCAGAGAGAATACAGGACAGAGTTTGCTTAAGCTCCTGAGAGATTCAGCAGTTTCTAAAGGAAAGGTGCTTATTTCAGTAGGCACTCTGAATTTCCATGGCCTGGGATAAAGGTTTTATCAAATAATGATGGTCGTGGTGCAAGGCAGTTTCCAGGCTGAGATGGCCCTGTCATCTCTGTGGTTTGGAGGAAAAGTGATTTAGTTACAATATTACCTCTGCTGGTTCATTCAAAATTACAGAACAACATTCAAGTGAGAACAGATTTTCAGATTTAGAAGATAACTTTTGCCCATTAATCAGCAGCTGGAAAATAAGAACAAAAACCTTGGAAAAAGCTAAAACCCAAAACTGTCACATCCAGGACTTCTGTCCATAAGGATCCCATCTCTCAGTGAATCAAAACCTTATTCTTGAAGGTCGGGGTTTTCATACCAACCAAGATAAATAAAACTATTAATTTTTTTTCAGAATGTCTGCTAGAAATATAAGTCCACATACCTGCTGGTTTTTAAAAAATCTGGTCTTAAAAACGGAAAATAAAATTTAATACCATGTTATTACTTACAGTTGTCGTCGGCAGAGCTTCTAGCCGCCTTCTGAATTTTCAAGCACCACCCAGAGTTGCTTTTGTTTCAAAAAGGATTTTTCCCTCAAGATTTTATGAAGATCTCTAAATAGAATTGCATGCAATCCTATGAAGGGTATATTTTATTCATTTCACTTCCAGTTCGATTCTTACAATGTGAACTTTGTAATTTTCCAGAAAGAAAAAGCTGTATGTCGTCTGATACTGCCATTATGCTATGTAGACCTATAGGATTTACACTGTACAAATCTGCGTGGGCTATGCCTGGAAATCGTCTCTAAACCCTTCATCCATACAGACCCCCGTGGGGACTTTACCTTTGGAACCAAAATGCTGGAAAATTGTTTGTAATATTTAAGCTTTTACTTCGTAAACCTGTTGATGGTGATAATAATAGAGATATGTGAGACGAAGTACAACAGTTTGTGTACCTTTTTTTGAAAGACCTAAATTATTTCTAGAAGTCTTAGCAAACCTTCCTTTCAACCTATTTCACAAATACATATCGAGCACCCTGCATGTGCTAGACACTGTTTTAGGCAATGGAAATACAAAGGTGAACAAAGACAGACTTGGTTCTATGTTTGCAAAACTGACTTTTTTAGTAGGCGGGGTTAGACCTTATACTGCTAATTAAACATAACTCATTAAACTGTGAATCGTTTAATTATCACTGTAAGTGCTACAGAGAGAACTGGAGGGTGCTATGAAAGTTTACCTGGAGAATCTCGCCTTGTCTGAAGGTCAGGGTCGACTTCTTCAGAAAGGGATGCCTGAGCTCAGCATCCCCCATAGACCTATCCAAGAGTCCCCAGCCCTACACTTTAAAGAAGCCCATATTTCCCATTGTAGACCATGCTCAGGGTGCCCCCAACCTCTAAATCCCCATCTGAAGGAACTCATCTGGGTCTAACATCCCAAAGGGGCAAAGTATGAATACCCTAGATTTCAGGGGGCTGCTTGCATTGGTGTGAGCATGAACAGACTTTGATGTGCACACTGGGATGCTCACAGTCCTTTCACAATGTGCAAAGGAACTAAGGGTGGGGCAAGAAGGGAGATGAGGCTTTGGCCACTAGCAAAGAACCATGAGTTGTTGTCCTTATATCCCAACATTCTCATGTGGAACTCCAGGGGGTCTGAGAAGTCTACATTCTGTCTGTAGCATGTGAACCTCCATTTGCACTCTTGCTTTAAGTCCTAAAAATGTTATGGGTGGTCCCCGTTGATCTGGGCTTTGCAAGATGAGTTGGCATTGACTGGGCAAGGAGAGAAGGAGCATTCTGAGCAGAGGGGCCCACACAGGTGATGGCTTTGAGGTGGAGAGGAGGAATGATGTGTTTAAGAACTGAGAGGAAGCCACTGCCTCTGGGATACAGAGAGAGACTCACCGTAGACTGGCTAAAGAATTGCCCAGAACAACAGAAGAACGTCTTTGAAGGAACATACTACGTGACCCTAAATGAAAGCTCTCTGCAGCATATTTTATTTTATTTTATTATTTTTTAATTTTTTTTAAAGATTTTATTTATTTATTTGACAGAGAGAGACACAACGAGAGAGGGAACACAAGCAGGGGGAGTGGGAGAGGGAGAAGCAGGCTTCCCGCTGAGCAGGGAGCCCGATGCGGGGCTCGATCCCAGGACCCTGGGACCATGACCTGAGCCGAAGGCAGATGCTTAATGACTGAGCCACCCAGGCGCCCCTCTCTGCAGCATATTTTTGAATAGCTATTTAAAAAGCATGAAATAATTCATATTGCTAAACTAGAATTTCTATAGAATGTATACAAAAACATTGAAACAGATGTTTGAAAATAATTTTCTTTCAAATACTGAATTATCAGTGCTCCATTATCATCATAATCCCATGACATATAGACAATCATCTCCCATGTCCCTCAAGTCTCAAGCCTAGGAAGTGTGTCTGTTCCCATTGTTACTCCACCTCAATTTTTACATCCAATAAGTATTCATAATATTCATTCATCTCTTTACTAATTTAACTCACCTGTAGTTTCCTCAGCAGCAGTATAGGAATAATATTATAATAGAGATGTTCAGAGGATGAAACAAGCTGATATATAAAAAGTACTCAGAACAGCACCAGGAAACCACTAGGCTCATAACAGAATGATATGGTCCCTGGACCCATAGGAGCTTCCAATCACAGAAAAGCAAACATGTAAGTAATTCTGTGATCAGTATAGAAGAGCAGCAAGATTCTAAAACCACAGAGAAGGAACTGATTCATTCTACCTGTACAACAGAGTAAGGTTTCACAGGGAGGAGATATTTGGTCATAAGCCCAGAGGGAAAAGGACAGCTACCTTCCTCGGCAAAAGGGATGACATGACAGCATGGGGTAGAAGAATGTGTTGGGAAAGATTGGCTGATCAGGGTGACAGAGAATGGAAGGGTCTAGTGTTGAGAGTTGAGCATGCTGGGACTCAGAGTTGAGCCAGAGGAAGGGAATTGTAGAAGTTGGACCTTTATTTGGTAGGGCAGTGTTTCTCAAAGGGTGGCCATTGGATATTAGAATCCCCTGGGGCAGTTTGTTAAGAATAAGGCTCCCTGGGTCCACTCCAGACATCATGAATTGGAATATGGGGCCTGGGGCACTTTAACAAGTTTTCCAGGTGATTCTTGTTTTTCCTCATGGTTGCAATACCATGAGGAGTTAAAGGAAGTTTTTCAAGCATATAATTTATACAATGAGCTTTGTCTTACAAAGTGGCTAGCTAGGGGCAACCCGGTGGCTTATTTGGTTAAGTGGCAGACTCTTGATTTTGGCTCAAGTCATGAGCTCAGGGTCCTGGGATGGAGCTATGTATCAGACTCCATGCTCAGCAGGGAGTCTGCTTCAGGATTCTCTCCCACTTTCTCTTCCTCTGCCCCTTCCACCACTCTCTCTCTCTCCCTCCCTCCCTCAATTAAATAAATGAATCTTAAAAAAAAAATCAAGTGGCTAGCTATATCCATACTATTGAGAAAACCAAGAAGTTCCCCTTTCAGAAGAAAAACACCTATTCAGGAATGTGGGTTTCCCTCCCAGAAAATAAACTGGTGTCAGATGCTTATTGGATAGATATGGGGGGAAAATCTCAAAGCAAATATATTTTTGCTTATATTATTCTCACTGTTCCCTGGACGCTGACATCCAATGGGGAAACGATACAAATTCTCCTAAAAATTAGACTTGTTAGTTTTTCCCTATTATGGAACACCTATTAAAGACCCCTAACCTAAAATAGCCTTGGGGTTTGTGAAACGCTACTGAGAAGACAACATAAGTCAACAAAGAAATGGCTAATGTGAAAATTGGTAACGTTTCAGATTTCTAGGAATTAATGTCAATGAATTGCAGCACTCTCAAGCCTTCTTCCTTAAGATGCATTATCCTAAAACATTATGTATTACTCAGTGCAAGCTCCTTATGCTTAAGATTTTTAGTTTTACAACTCTCTTTCCAACGAGCCTGAGTATTTAATAAAGAGAATAAAGAGTTTGTGGAAACCTAAACACATCACAAAGTTCTATTTTTTGATTATTACCCTTTATTTTATGGAACATAACATTTTCAAAGCAAGTTTAAAATGGGGAAATTCTTGTAATATGATAAAAGGAGAGGAAAACATACAAAATAAAAATGTTTGTACATATACTATATATATACATATATGTGTACAAGTGTATATAAGTATGTGTATATATACAGTTATTATTAAAACTAGATCCCTAAGTATAGAGTAAAGATTAGAAGAACATAAAGTATCGGTTAACTTTTTGATTCCAGGGATGCTGACATTATCAGTGATTTCTGGTTCCTTCTTTGTGCTTTTCTATAATTTTGGAAATTTCAAAAATGAACTCACCTTAGTTTTATCATTTAAAAAAGCCCCCAGACTTGTGCATGGTGACGGGAGGGTGGGAGGTGCAAGAGGCAAGAAGGAGTCCCTGGCAGTCCGTAGGGAGTACCTTGGGCCCAGAGAAAGACGAAACCTCCCCAAGACCCAAAGCAGAACCAACTTCTCCTTCCTCTGTGCTCCCCTCTCTGTCAGGATCTGCCTGGTCGCTCAAGAGTGAGTTCTTGGAGGTTGGGAACTGCATGTAACTCCTACCTGCCAGTTCGGGCAGAGTCTGGCCCAGAGATGTTCCAACGTGGCTTCGATGAGTGACTGCTCTTTGGTTCCTTGGAAGCAGGAGCTGACATCTCATCCCGTGGAGCCAGGCTCTGGATCCTGTTGTCCAGAGGTTCCCACTTCACCTTGGGAGCTGATCTCCAGCCCAGGCAGGGTGAAGAGAAATGCTGATTTCGTGCTCCACTCCGGAGAGCTGTAGGCAGGGTTAGTTTTCCAGTGTTAGGATCTAAGGAGAGAACTCCCTGCTCTAAAATACCCACGCTGGCTCCCAGAATTTTACCATCATAGCTTCATTCCTTCGGGATCTGAATTCTTATAACAGTTCCCTATTAAAATGAAAATGCCTCTGGGAGGCATTAAGCTCTTGTCAGCAAACACCTTGCTTATTAACCAACACCTGAGCTGCCAGCCATTTGAAAGCAAGTGCCTGTTGGGAAGGTGGGGAAATGGTGGAGGGTGGGGGCAGCTGGAAGACCTGAGACCTTAGAGTGACTGGGCTCAGAATGTCGCAAGATGTCTAGGCCTGGCGGTCAAGGGGAAGACCCGGGTCGGACACATGGCGGGTAGGAGTGCTCTGGGCCTCAGTTCTCCAGCCTTCTGGGTAGTTTTGCTTTCTCGTCAAATGCACAAGACTAGGAATAGAAAACTAATTGGTAAGGAGTTGGGTTGTGTTTTTTGTTTGTTTGTTGTTGCTGTTGTTTGGTTTGTTTGTTTGCTTGGTTGGTTGGTTGGTTTTAGGTTTGTTTGGGTTTGGGTTTTTTTGTTTTGGGGGGGTTGGAGATAAAATTGGTTGTGATTTTTTGAGTCACAAGCTTTCACATTCAGTGTTTGGGCCCCAACTATGCATCTCAGCATTTAAATTAATAATTCTTTGTCTTACATTAATTAATCAACACATATTTAACACCTCTCATTTCTCTACAAAATTCAAAGCCTTCATTTCCTAAGCATTTTTAAAAATGTTCTCTGAAAGTCTTTCTGTTGGTCTGTGTCTTTTTGGAAATGCCAGACTAGAGAAATATGCTGGATTTTCCCACTTTTGTGTGTATTATTAGTCATCATGGGAGAGCTAAACAGCACTCTGGATTGAGTAAGATTGCCTGAACAGTTTTCAAATATTTGGGGTTCAAAAAAACCCAAAATGTGTTTTGCCAAAGCATTTGCTTTTCTCTTCATTTTCTTTAAACCCATGTTTATTTCAAGGAGCATTTATTCCATGTGTTTTTAATGCATTTACACTCAGTTCATTAAAATGCTACTCTATAATAGTTCCTTGGCATCCAAGAGACCCGTGGAGCCCTTCTGCTTTGAAGGGGTAGGTGTGCTGTACCCACCCCACCCCACAGTCTGGAATGGCTCAGCTCCTTCCTGGAGCCCAGGGAGTCTAGGACATGGAGGGCCTGGCACGCGGAACACTTGTGCCCCGGGCCCTGTTGCCATGTTGTCCCGTCTACCTCTGCTGTGCACACGGGCCAGTTAGTAGTCAGGAAGGTCCCTCACAGTTTAGGGCTTGGTCAGAATCTAAGTGTTTCAGAATTCCATCCCTGCCTTGAATCCTGGTGACGCTGAGGACTTAAGGGCCAGGCTGCAGGCCACATGGCCTTATTAACTATCAATACCGAGATGGAGGGTGTGATTAGGCGCTGAGAATGTCCCCACTGTCTCCATTACTGTGGTGGCCGGGAGTGACTCTACTTTCTAGGGGAGTTAATATGAACCTGATGGGTAGAAATTGCTCAGTAGGTCACAAAAGACATGCTTGACAGGCCATCGCCCCATTGTGTTCTAGATGCATGGCCCCACCCTGAATGCAACCGCATAGAAAGGAGTGAGATGCAGATAAAATAAATGGTCAGAAGAAGGATGTTTGCAGCCTGATATTTATGGGTCAGTGGATTAGCTCAGGGTAGTCTGTTCCCCAAATAAAATGTCTCCATGCATGCTTGTGCTGGTTCTCCATTGACACGGTCATACCACATGTCAAGAACTGGGCTAAATTCTCTACAATGTTACCCCACTTAGTTGTCATCACAGTCCCCTGAGGTAGACATTATTATCCCCACCTTGCCGATGAGCAAAATGAGGTGCAGGACAAAGCCACTTGCCTCAGGTCCTGTGGTGGAGCTGTGGTCAGCGGTGGGCAGGGTTTTCTTTGACTCAGAACTGCCAGGTTGGCATTTCCCAGGCCAGTCCAGGCCTGAAGCTGGGCCTTCCTTCACTGGAATGCCCCAAGTATCACCTCTTTACTGGAGACCGGTCCTGGAGGAAAAGTAATTATTTTGATAGGTCTTAGTGAGATAGGGAAACTGAAGGACTCCATAAACATCTGCTTTTTGCTCCTTTTCCTGCTTCTATTCTTGTTAGGACCTGCACCCCCACCCCACTTGGCACATGCCTCAGAATGCAAATAGTGTATGTCCTCCTCGTAAGGGACAGGGAGTTAATGATTTCTTTAGACTAGATAACATCTAGGGAAGGACCAGGTGAGAATGACCAGAGGAAGTCATCTTATGCATATTCCAGACCAGCAGTGCTAGACATCTTGATGCCAAGACCCACTAGCTCCAAAGAATAACACCTGGGCTCTTGTCTTTGTTCTAACCAGTTCCTGCATGCTTGAGGGGACACATCCACCTGACTACTGTCCTCAATAAAAACCCCAGGCCCCAACAAAGTCAAGACTCATGCTCATTTCCTTTCCAAGTCTCCCAGACACTCTGTCTGTATCTGCATTCTCTCTATATCTTCAGTAATCTCTGCTTTCACTTCCTGCTGGCTCACCTTTGATTTCCATCCTTCAGGAAGCCAAAGACCCTCTTGGCTGGTCCTGTGAGATCCTCTCTGGGTCCTCAGACCCAGCCTGCTGGCATCATCTAGAAAAGGGCAGTGCTGAGGCTGGGGAGGAAATTTCCAAGGGCCAATCTCAGCATTAGAAGTGACTCAGATTCTTCTGTCCATCTTCCCTAAACTCTTTCTCTATCAAGACAAAAACATGTGCTCCAGTTACTCATTGTCCCTCTTCAAGTGTAGGTCACAGCATGGAAGACAATCCTCCAGATGTGGTCTGGCCAGCATCAAAGGGTGGGACTGCCTGTGCCTGCTTTCAACACTCAAAGTCTGTTAACAAAACCCCAATAGCTCTGCTTCCCCAGCCCACCCATTATGTGGCTGATTCGTGTCACTGTGGCCTCACACTCAGCTACCAGTTAACAAACACTTTAACCTCTTACTCATTTACTTACTTCTTTCTTATTTTCTCATTCCCCACCAGCACCCATCCCTGTTAGGTTCCAGGTAGTCTAAACACATCTTCCTGTTCCTGAGCTGCCTGGGTCAAGTTTCTCATGCTCTCAGCTCCACTGGAGCTGGCTGCCCATTTCATTCAAAGTTCTTTCTCATTTGCAGCAAATATGGACATGGGCTGGTGAGAAGTGCTTCTTCTGGCACCTGTCTGTGCACTTCTCTACTGCCTCTGTTAAAATCCCTAAACTTTCTTGTTCTTCCCACTCCATGAATACTTTAAGAAATATCCCTTTTCAATGTCTCCGGTATTTTGAGAAAATTCAGCTCATTCTGACACTGTGTCTACCTGAGATTTTTGTCACAGCCCAGGCCATGATTTTGGTATCCTCCTTAATTTGAGGGGCCTCCTTCCACCTTGAGAACGAGTCCTTCCCTAGCTGCAAGAGCATCCTGGGAAGGCATGATGATTTCTTGAACCTTTCCTTCTTTTTCACTCAAGTTTTAGGGTCAGAATTTTGTCTATTTGGAGACTTCTCTATCTTTTGTGCAATCTTTCCTTTAGAATCTCTGGCTATAGAATTATCCAAACTTCCCCTGAATTTTTTGAAACCTACTTTTCCAAATCCCAAGTTATGTCTAATGCCCAACACATTCATTTCTTAACAGAATCATTCAATGATAAATGGTCATATTTTTTATAGTTCTTATTATTTCCAGACTCCGCCTTGACCTGCATTACTGTTCAGAATTAAGACCAAGTAGTAATTCTGTGTATTGCTTCCTCCCCTGTGTGCTGAGGCAAACAACAAATTAAATGAAGGCACTACCTTTAGTGAAAGGAGCCATTAAGCAGATATCCAAATAGATGAAATCCTCCATCTCTACCAGGAGGTGCTTTAATGATGGTTTTGTAATCTACAAAAGGAAAGAGTTACCCAACTCTTGGAGGTAGCGGGGTTGCTTGACTTTACTTCCTCAGTAGTGTTTTTCTGACCCACTTTCTTTTTATTGTTTTTCAAGGTCTCTCCAAAATTCTTCCATGTAAAATGTCATAGACTCATGGATTTCTGTGTCTTTGTGAAAATGGCCCAGAATATGAAGTAGAAGATGTTGGTGTATAACCACCGTTGCCTCTTTTATATATTGGGGGTGGGAATACTTTCCTCGGAGGGATGTTGGGAGAGTTAAGCAAGACAGTGTTTGGGCAAGGGGCCATGCACACTGGAAAGTATGGTACAAATGTTTATAATTATTTTTACTGAGTTATTATCACTTTATCTCTTCAGTGAAACATGTCTGTGGAAGGGGTATACCTCTCATTTACAACACTCCAGACTTGAGTTTTACTCTACAACCCTTTGTAAAACCATCTACAAATTTACCTTCCCCTATTAAATTATCCAGGTCCCATTGCTGATTAGATCTAATCAATGTACTAGGTAATAAATAAACTTCTTGAAGACAGGGAGCCTCTTTTATTTTGGAACACCAGACACTAAGCACATACTAGGATCAGGCTTTAGCTGTCTGAAGAATATAGCTTTTTCTGCTTTACACTGTTGGTCTGGATTTTGCCTAAACACAGTCAAGTTCTGCATGAGAAAGGGAAGTGAACATACAAGGTTGGCAGCCTATAGGTAGAAAAAATAATACATTTGTTTTACTATCAAACAGAGAAACAGGAAGGGAAAATAAATTATTACATAGTGCACAACTGAGATTTCTAAACTTAAAACCATAGTATTTATTTTTAAATACCTTTCATTAAGATGTAATTCACATACTGTAGACATTTGCCCATTTAAAGTATACAAACATTTCAATAATTTTGATATATTCACAGACATGTGCACCATCACCACAATCTCAGTTTAGAATATTTTTATCACCCCCAAAGAAACCCTGTACCCACTGGCATTAGCAATCACTCCCCATTTCTCCCCAACTCCACACCTGCACAGCTCTAGGCAACTGTTAATCTTTCTCTAGATATACATTTACCTATTCTAGACATTTCATATTAATGTAATCATTATGTGAATTTTTCTTATGACTGGCTTCTTTCTCTTAATATAATGTCTTTAAGTTTCATCCATATCATTAGCATGTGAACATGGGCCAGTCAGTATTTCATTCCTTTTTATTACAAAATAATACCCATTTTATGGATATATCCCATTTTTTTTATCCTTTTGTCAGTTTGAGGTGGTCTGCAGTTTTGGGTTGTTATGGATAATGCCTCTATGAACACTCATGTGCAAGGTTTTGTAGAGATGTAGAAATTTTCATTTCCAGGAGTATGTTTAACACTTTGAGGAATTTGCCAGTGTTTTTCAGAATTGCTGTACCATGTTACATTCCACCGGCAAATTTATGAGGGTCCATATTTCTCTATATCCTTGCCAACTTTGTTATTGTCTCTTTTTCATTATAGCCACCTTAGTGAGTGTCAAGTGGTATCTCACTGTGGTTTTGATTTGTACTTACCGAATGACGAAGGATATTGAACAATTTTTCATGCACTTGTTGTCCACTTCTACATTTTCCTTGGAGAAATCTACTCAAATCCTTTGCCCACTTGTTGAGTTGTCTTTTTATTATTGAATTTTAGAATTCTTTATATATTTTGGGTATCAGTCCCTTATCAGATATAGGATTTTTAATTTTTTTTCTCATTCTGTGGGTTGTGTTTTCACTTTCTTTTTTTTTTTTTTAAAGATTTTATTTATTTATTTGACAGAGAGAGACACAGCAAGAGAGGGAACACAAGCAGGGGAAGTGGGAGAGGGAGAAGCAGGCTTCCCGCCGAGCAGGGAGCCCAATGCTGGGCTCGATCCCAGGACCATGGGACCATGACCTGAGCCGAAGGCAGATGCTTAACGACTGAGCCACCCAGGCGCCCCTCACTTTCTTGACTGTACCATTTTCAGCACAATTTTCTTTCCTTCATTCATTTGTTTATTCATTCAGCAAACATCAAACTCCTCTATACATTAGCAATGTGCAATTTGTAAAAGAAATTAAGAGCACAATTCCATTTAAAATAGTATCAAGAAGAATAATATATTTAGGAATAATATATTTAGGACTCCTCTAATTGCATCTCCATCTCTCTACCAGAGAGATAAATGGGAGAGGGATGGACTAGAACAGAACAGCATTGGCACTGGAACTGGGAGTTTCTTCAAGTCTCTGGGCTCTGGTTTGCTTTTGTTCAGATCCCAAACTCTATGGTGTTGACTTTCTTGACCAATAACACATCATTATTCAGATAATATAAAGAATATGCAGAGACAGTATGAGTAAATCCTATTAAAATCCTTTCACATCTGAAAGAACTTAGGTTCCAAATGAGCCACTGTGATGCATGTTCAGGTCTGCATGTGAGAGAGGCATAAAATTACAGAGACTTTTCTCAGCTCAGAACAGATCATTAACTTGCTTTTACCTCCTGTGTCAGGGGTGGAACCCTGGACACCTGCACAAAATCAGAGTCCTGTTACTGGAGACCAGAGGGATGGGAGGCAACCAAAAGCATCTACTGTAGACATTTACCATGAATTCCTTTTGCCTATTGACTTTGGTCATGGTGTGGGACCTGAGAGGGAAGAAGACTCTCTTTGGAAGACTGGCTTTCAGGGATCACCTCAGGCATCCAATCACACAGTGGACAAAAAGCTACTGAGCAAATCTGTCTTCAAAGAATAACCCAGAGTTCATTATACTATAAAAGAATTAACTCAGGAACAGCCAGATGAAAGAGATGTACAGAGCATGATGTATGGGAGAGGGTGTGGATCTTCCTTATTCTCTCCAAACTCCATTCTCCCCAAAACTCCACATATTCACCAACCCAGAAGCTCTCAGAACAATTTTTTTTAATGAAAAAGTTCAATTTACCTATTTCTTCTTTAACTGCTTATGCTTTTTGTGTTATATCTAAGAAACCATTGTCGAATCCTAGGTCATCAAGATTTATTTCTATGTTTCCTTCTAAGAGTTTTATAGTTTCACCTCTTAAATATTGATCTATGTGTGGCATAAGGAAGTAATTGAAGTTCATTCTTTTGCATGGGGATGTACAGTTGTCCCAGCAGCATTTGTTGAAAAAATTATTTTTGCCCCATTGACTTGTCATGGCAAACTTGTTGAAATCAGTTGACCATAAATGTAATGGTTTATTTCTGGACTCTAAATTCTATTCCATTGATTGTATATCTATCCTATGTCAGCACCACACTGTCTTGAATACTGTAGCTTTGTAGTCAGTTTTGAAATTGGGAGGTGAGTCCTCTAATTTTGTTCTTCTTTCTCAAGATTGCTTTGACTATTGTGGATCCCTTGAATTTCCATATGAATTTTATGATTAGCTTTTCCATTTCTGCAAAAAAGACTTTTTGGATTTTGATAGGGATCACATTGAATCTGTAGGCCAATTTGAAAAGTATTGTTTCCTTAATAATTTGAAGTCTCTGGTCCATGTACATGAGAGTCAGTTTCAGTAATTTGTATTTTTCTAGGAATTTTTCTATTTCTTCTAAGTTATCTAATTTGTTGCCATTTAATATTTATTTATTTATTTATTTAATTTATTTATTTTTAAAAAGATTTTATTTATTTATTTGCCAGAGGGAGAGAGAGAGAGAGAGAGTACAAGCAGGGGGAGTGGCAGGCAGAGGGAGAAGCAGACTCCCCGCTGAGCAGGGAGCCCGATGTGGGACTCAATCCCAGGA